TGCTAGTGTGTTCAAGTGTGATTATTGTGGTCGTTTTGGTCATTTGGCCAATTATTGCTTTGATTTGAAAAGAAAATCTCATTTGACAAATGCTTCCAATAGACCACATGTTTTTAAATGTGATGTTTGTGGTAGGTTTGGACATCTTGCTAAATTTTGTTTTGATATACAAAAAGCTTCTAAATTGCAATATGTTCCAAATAGACCATTGTTTAAGAATGTTTCTCATTTGCAAAATAATTTTAAAAGAAAATCTTTATTTGCAAATGATTCCCGTGCACGAGCTAATGGTCCACAAAAACAAATGGATCTCTTTCATTGCACAAATTGCAATCGGAAGGGTCATTTGAATGAATATTGTTTTGACCATGTTAGTGCACCATATGTGCCTAAGAGGGTTCATAACCCTAGGGCTTTGAGCTTAAATGATAGGGGTCATGTCCCTAAATCTTTTGGTACCAAGAGTTCTTGGGTACCAAAACAAATTTGATTTTCAAACTAAGAATTTTAATGTTTTTATCCTTCTTTATCTTGATTTTGAAAATTATGGTTTGAAATCTTTTTATATGAAAACAATTTATAATTGATAAAATCTTTTGTTTTCATGATTAATTGTTTTGTTTTGATGAGAGGTTTGTACTTATATAACCCTCCGGGTTTATTGGGTGTTTATTCCCAAATTATGTTTACCGGGTGCAAAAATGTTTATATGGGTTAATACTAGCTCAAGAGCTAGATATAGTTGCCTCTCTTGATTTTTGAAAATCAAAGATGATTTTTAGTTTTTCAAATCCATAGTTCATGAGTTACTTTTGAGCTATGAAAATTTTGCTTTGATTTGTTATTTTGAATTCATTATATAAGCACAAATAGATGATTCAAATTTTAAATATGCTTTATAATGTATTCTATGAGTGGTTTGATCAAGTTATGTAAAGAAAATTTTTCTTTATTGATCAAACATTATTTTTGAATATAAACTTTGATTTATGATTTCTTTTGGTTGAATTGTTTTCATTTGAAAACGTTTTGCATGATTCTCATGTTCCTCTTCTTTTGATTTCATAAATCTACTTTTATACATATTTTTTATGTTCTTGGATATGAGACACATATTTTATTTTATATGTGTTCCCATTGTCTTTTTGTATGTGAGTGGTGTTTAGCATATTTCTCATTTATGCTTGCTCACATATGTTTGCCATGATATTCATTTCATATATTCCATATGGCATTTTGATAGGGGGAGCAATCCCTATATCTTTTTATGTTTGATACTCACCCGTGCTTATTGATAGGGGGAGCTTTCGCTCTCTTAATCCTTTTGTCCCCTTTTTGATGTTGTCAAAGGGGGAGAAATATTGTGAGTATATGTATATTCTTTCTTGTTTATATGCATGTGAATTGTAATCTATATATTCATTTCCTTTCATGCATATATCCTTTTTGTAAATTGTTTGTCATCATCAAAAAGGGGGAGATTGTTGGCCTTCTTGTTTTGATGATGATTTACAAACAATTTACTACTAATGTTGTTTGTCTAGTGCTTGTATTATCTATTCATTGTAGACAAACAACGTAGTTGGAGGATGGATGGATTGCGCCATAACGACGATATCAAATGGAGGTTGGCGGAATTGTGGAGTGAAGCAACATACAATTCAAGTTAAAGATCAAGTTCAAGCTTCATCCGCATGTGTACCAAGTTGAGCTACAATGAAGATCAAGATCAAGCTTGGGTAATCTAGTTTAGATTTTATATTATGTGTGTTAGATACTCTAAGCTCAATATCATATACACACACACATTTATTGGTTTCTTCGTATATATATATATATAGTCATATATATATATATTGTTTTCTTGGTTTATAGACTTAACAATAATCATATACATCTTTTATTAAGTCTACAAAATCATTTTGTAATGTTTCAAAACATGGTTAAGCTAAAATGTCAAGATTCATATGTTTACATTTTCATGTTTTGGACTATTTTGCAAAATGATGATATTTCTCATTTGGGAAGTCTTTTTAGAAAACCAGTTTTTATAGCATGTGTATTATCATGTCTACAATCATTCCCCAAAGTCTTACATTTTTCTGAATTTATTTGATATTTTTAAACAGCATTTCAAAATCAGATAAACAGTTTTCATATCAGTTTTCGGTCGACCGCACCGGTCGACCGAACCTGAGGTCAAAAGTTCACTGGGCTGACAGACGTCTGTCGGTCGACCGGTACGCGACGCGTACGGTCGACGATGAAAATTTTCGGTCGACCGACGAAATTTTCGGTCGACCGACGCGCCCAGTTCAGCTTCCAACGGCTAGTTTTTGACCGTTGCATTGGGGCTGTTTTTGTCTTTTGCTCTGGTTGTTGGCTGAGTTGTGAGAGGGATAAAACCCCATTGTCTTCAACTCTCAAGCTAACTAAGAGAGTTTTTAATCAAGTTTAAATAAGTTTTTAACAAGGGTTTTAGTTTGTTTAAGTGTGTTTTAAAAAGCTTTTAAGCAAATGAGAGTTTGTTTTGGTGAATCAAATTCCACAAGAGCCTGAGGAGATTATCTATTGAAGTTTGAGCCTTCCAACTATCATCCTCCATCTCTTGTTATCAAATTGAGAAGTTTTCTAACCAAACTCTAGCTTTACATATATACTTGATTTATTAAGCTAGAATTTATTTGAGTTTAGTTTGATTTGATCTACTCTTTGTTTACACACACAACCATTGAGCTTATTGTATTTACATTCATAGTATAATTTGGGTTGTGGGGAGTTGTAACAAATTTGAGTTGTGCTACATTGTGTTCTCATCTATTGTAGAGAACAAATTGGTTGTATTTACTTTGTGAGTGTTGTAAGGTTTTCGGTGAGCTAGAAACCGAGTGTGTTGTGAAGTTTTCGGTGAACTAGAAAAACCGAGTGTGAGGAGTGGACGTTGATCGGTGAACGTTGAAAACCGACATTGTGAGGGTGAGTGTGAACGTTGATCGGTGAGCGTTGAAAACCGACACTGTGAGGTGTAAACGTTATTCGGGTGAGCGTAGAAAACCCGGTTGTGATAGTGGATTTCTCCCCGGGAGTGGGGAGCGGAGACGTAGGACGGAAGGTCCGAACTCCGTGATCATATTGCTTGTTTGAGTGTGCTTTGGCGTTCATTCATATTTATGTTCATATCTTATATCGCCATTGTCATTAGCTCATTATCTATATCATCCACTATCTAGTTCATATTGTTTACCCTTGTGTTAGTTTATATATCCTTGCATATATATTTCATCATATAGGATATATCTCATTATTCATATTGTTTATCCTAGCTTACATATCTTGTTACATTTCATACTTGCTAGGATAACTTATTAATTAGTTTTAATTGGTATTTAATCGGATTAGATTAGCATAAGACCCTAATCACCCCCCTCTAGGGTCTAACACGCCTCACTCTTTGCGATCTCGTCATGCCGCGCACAGCCTCTCTCTCCCACCGCGATCTCGTCCAGCCGCGATCTCGTCCAGTTGATGTTATGGGGGTAAGTTCACAATATCTGAGGCTTATTTTGATTTGAGCCAAACTGCAGATAATCAAAACTTGAATAAATTTGTGTGGAATTCTCTGATTGTACGTACGCATTCATTTATACCTACAGATAGCCAACAGGATGGGAGGTTGGTGACCTGTAGGGTTGTTTCCAGGAAATCCATGAGACTACTAGTCCAGTAGTCCCGTGGATTATGCATCTACATTTTTCACGGGAACACACAAATGTGGATAAACTTCATAAAAGCCCCTCAACTTCATGTGCAAAAATACTATTCAGTAATAAACAAATTATTTGCACTTATTTCCTCAAAATTTTTTAAAGTTTGAATATTACTTCATCAAACTTAATATTAGTCTATCAAATCTTTAGAGGTTTGGAATTACCCTCCTAGATGTCCATAATTAGTTGAAGTTATTCACTAAAATCCCTATTGCAAATTACCCGTTAAATTTATAAATAGACTCCAAAATCTTTAAATAATTTCAATGTCCTCCCTCAAATGTTCATATTTTGAATTTATTAGTCTCTAAAATAGATTTATAAAAACTTAAATTAGTCTTTCGAATAATTAAATATTTGGACTTACTTCCTTAAATATTCATAATCATTGGACTTACTTCCTTAAATATTCATAATCAATCCCTCAAATTTTTATAAAATTTGTAAATTACTACCTTATATTTAAAATTAGTCCCTCAATTCATAAGTAGTCTTATTTCGGAATTTTAGACTCTCAAATGTTGAGTATTCTCACCCCACTCATGTTTCACAAATATTTTGTCCTATTTGAGTGGTAAGCACACCATGGTGATCATAACCATGGTTTCTTCTTCTTTTTTTTTTAGTTTGAACCAAACACTAGAAAATAAGAAAATACACATCTTTCTACAATGAAAATACCCATGCACCTTTGGATGTGCTCTTTAAAGTCTAAGAGCAAGTGCAGCAAGCTCCCAGTTGGGAGTCCTAGTCAGCAAGCTCTCAAGAGCTCTCAAGCATTTTAGAATAAAAAATTAACAAATTAAGCCTTAAGAGGCACTTCTTCTTTTATGAAGCTCCAACAAGCTCCTAGTTAGGAGCTCCAACAATATCAAAAACCCTTCTTCTATCAAAAAACCCTATCAAAAAAACCCCTCTTCTATCAAAACCCCTCTTCTATTGCAAAGGTACAAAAGCAAGGAGTTTTTTGTTAATTTTTTTTTTTAATAGCTTGGGAGCTCCATGGCACAAAGCCCTCAGAGCTTGCTTAGTTCCACGGAAGCTCTCAGAGCTCCCTTAGGAGCTTGCTGGAGCAAGTCCAGCAAGCTCCCACCGCCACCTCAGCCTTAGGAGGTGGGGGTGGGAGCTTGCTGCACTTGCCCTAAGAGAGGGAACCTAGTGAAAAGAGGGGCTGGCCCTTGATGAGGAGAGCATGATCCATGCTTGATATTTTTGTTTTGAAGAGGAAAGAAATAAACAAAAAACAAAACGCTTGCACTTTCAAAGCCGAGGAGACAAATGAAGAGTATATAATACATGCCGTCTCATTGCAAAAGGGGCAATTAATGATGTGAATTGGACACAAACAGAGAGTCTAATGACCTTGTGTCATCATCTCCATGATAATTGATGCAGGTGCGCGTGTAACTGCGCCATTGGTAGAGGAGCCATGTGGGGATGTTTTCCCATCACTTTCAGTTCTCTATGCGCTTGTTAATGGGGGCAGATGCTAGCGCCGGTAGATTTTAGGTGAACAACTTCACTGAGAGGGGGGAAAAAACTGAGAGACCAGACCCAAAATAATCTCAAAGTCCAACGCCTTGCCCTTGGACGTAGGAAACTGAACGTGAGAAATTGAAAGTAGATACTTAAATTTGAATTGATGATATTTGCATGCTAATACTAACGATACCAACCACGTATATACATACACACACATATTGTCAGGCTAAAGAAAAAGCTCGAGTCCTTGTCAATGTAGGCGCATGCTCCTCGCAACAATTTTTGTCTACTCTGTATAAAGACAGCCAGGGCACCAGATCCTGACTACGAAAACAGAAAATGATTATGTAAAGCTCAGAATCTAAAAGAGTGTTCACACATAGATGGCGCTCGCCAAACATAAACGACTTGAAAGCAATAGGACCGGCAGCGGCCTCTTTAAAGGAACAAAAGCATTGAAAAATATGCACAATATCTTTTTTTTTTCCTCCTACCGTTTTTTCTGGAGTTTTTCGTTACCGGTTCATCTCCGCAACACGGTACTCAGGTCCACAACTGAATGGTAATATCTTCTACGATTGCAAGATAAGATTCAGGCTTCTACGTTATGTCCTGAATTCCAGCTGCAAAGAGTTGTCATTTATCAGTGAATGACGCAGTTCGCTAGATGTTAACACCTCTTCCTAAAACGCACAACTGTTACCTCTCCAAGCGCGGGTTACTGAATATCCTAGTGCTGGTAGTCTGCAATCCACTCTTGAGCCAGGCAATGCTACTAAGATCTGAAGCTACTAAAGCCAATTCAAGACTTGAAATTGGGGGAGCCTCCACAAATTCCATAAACTCTGGACCTAACAAAGAAGTCTGAGAACTCTCCTTCTCAATACGACAGCAGCCATGCCCGCATCGAGATGGCACCTCAGGCTCACAGCTAAGACTATCAAGCAACTTGCAGGCTTCGCCAGTAGATCTAGAAGCTTGGAACTGTGGTTCATGTACTGATCTTGGAAGTAAAGAACCTTTTGATTCACCAGATAAAGTATTGTATATATTGAAGGCGCTTACTCTTGCAACTGGTCGGAACAATTTCGGTTGGTCTTCAACTTTAGGTTCACAAGGAACAACATGATCGTCAATCTTTTCCTCAACCTGACAAGGCAAGTTTTTGCTCAAACTAGTATCTCTTACTTCCAAGGATTTAAACGGATTGATTGGCACAAGGGATTGAGCTTTCTCAGAAGATACTTTAATTTTTTCCACACCACCATTCACAAGAAGAGTACTAGTTGTCTTGCGCTCGGGATAACCATATGCTCTACGTCGTAGAGTAGAATTCCAGTGATTCTTTACAGCGTTGTCTGTTCTACCTTGTAAAAGCTTTGCAATTTGTGCCCATTTGTTTCCATGGACTGCATGAGCAGCGATTATTATCCGATCCTCTTCCTCTGCAGAGCATATTAGTGCATATCAATAAGCATGATAGACACCAAAAGTTAAAATTGCGAAGATCTATACTTTTATATACTTTGGAATTGCTTGTTTTATCTACATGGAGACTGCTATTTGTACATATGAGGTGGTCCTTAAAGAACATGAATGGAGAAAAGGTGTTCCAAGAAGCCAATTCCAATTTTATCTTTTGCAGCAGGTTTTTCTTTCTTTCTTTCTTCTTCTTCTTCTTCTTTCTTTTTTGGTAAAGAAAAAAAATTGCAGCAGTTATTGTTTCACTAGATCATAGTTAATTTGTGGAAATGCCAAACTGAAGAGGTTGCTCGTGCAAAACTTGCTATAAAATTTTTCTGTTTTTAACGAGTAAACAAACACATGCCAGGCACGTGATAAGCGATCACATGATGAACACAGCTTAGATATTACCATATAGAAGATATAGATTTGCATGAATTGACATGCCTATGATTCTTAAATTATATGCTCCATTACCAGCACAAAACTCATCAGAAAACACTTTCATGCAAAATAAAGAAAGCAGTACATTGAAGATGAATTTCCTCAAAACTAACTTGTAGCACACTACATAATGAAATAGAAGATAAACTGCCAAAATGAGGCTGAGGATAACCTACAAAAGAAAAGTTCTAATGCAGAAGCCTAATCGGACCTTAAGTCTAGGACATGCAGAGAGAGAAGATGTCTTCTCCCTAAAAATTCCACGATTAGGAACCCATCTCTAAGCAACCTCATGGGCAATATGCATTTTTGTCAGAATATAGAAAATGAAATAAGAAAGAAAGCATGAAATAACAAATAAAGAAGCACATGAAATGGTAACAGATCACCGTAAAAAAACTTACCAAAAAATGAACATCTATCAACAGTTTGCAGTAGACAAAGCGCATGAACATAAATGAAGAAGCAAAGTGAAGGAACTCAGAAATCTAAATGTGCACGAAATGTAAACGTAAGAAAAGAAGATCTGATGGCTATGGGATGATTATCGAGGTGCATATTAAAGATAATTGTACAGAAAAGTAAACAAAAAGAAAACAAGTTAAAACTGCAATGAAGTAGAATATTGAAGGGAAAAAAATAGGACAGTAAGAGAACATTAGCCATAAAAAATAAAGAAATTGAACTGTCTTCAAGGAGATAAATATGCGAAATTATAAGACAAGAGATAACTCACTGGGAATACAAAACGGTCATATGGGTTCTCACTTGTATATGTAAATAAGAAGGGTATGCTAAATAAGAAAAAGGTTCTATCATTCTCTTCTGAAACAAAGAACCTTACTGTCTAACAGTTCCACAACCCAATTATAACCACCTGTTTTCACATATCTACAATTTCACAAAAAAATGATGCTAATTAGTCATGCATAACTAATTAGTGTGTAGAATTCATTTCTCTTAGCAAGGTAAAACATTTCTCATTGGAGTCCTCCCATTTACTTCGATTACTGTAGAAAAAATCCTTTGCAACTACTATGAAGACATTAGATAACCTCGAGCAGCAAGGGAGAAATCATGGTGACCATCCATTAAACTTTCATATTGGTCGAGAACTCAAGACTACTAGATAATGTTGGTCTCATGTTACTAGGCTCCATCTAAAGTATAGATGTCACGCAACAGGAGATTACCAGAGAACTCTGACAAGTGAAAATTTTCAAAATAACAAGGATCTTCATGACCGTGTGATGCATTCTAGACCTACATAATGCAGCTGGACTGCATGGCTGAAACTAGCACACCGGTGGTGGCACGGAAACAGATACAACTTTGCATTTGATGCCAACTTTTGTATGAGATAAGATAATTTGAACGAAAAAAAATCCTGAATGCAATCAGCTTGGATTAGCCAAATCCTTCATTTAAGCCCTCGAATAAATAGATGGCTATTCAGCCTGGTTTCAGGAGATTAAGGAAAGTAAATAAATGCTAATTCGCTTCAAACTACAAGCTTAAAGGATTTAATATATTAATTTATGTGGTAAAATAAGGAATTCTTTTTGACAAAGCTCTGTATTTTCTTTCTTTTCCCTTGGCTTATACTTGACTCAATAAGAGCACTCAACAGAAACGTATTGATCAGACATTGTGAATGGAATTAGCAACACAAATGCATTTACCCTTTTTTTCCTCACCGTCTCTCCTCAAATATAAAGATTTGACCTAGTACAACTATTTCTATTTGTCCTGTTCCTTTTTTTTAGTAACCGAGTATTTGTACTGTTCTCTATAGGCATAAGGAGTTCTTCCAGAGAATTTAAGGGTGACCTTGTATCGACTAGATAAAAAAAATGTTTGTAAAAATATAACTGGTAAGATAGTATAGCGTATAAGTTTATAACTGGTAAGATAGTATAGCTTATAAGTTTATAACCCAAAAGATGAAGTATTCTGGGACTTATGTGCTATAAGAGGATTTTAGCATTTTAACATCTACAATCTGGTCAAGTGGAAATCATAACCCACAGAGTGAAAATACCATGAAATTCTACACCAACATAATCCACAAAGAATTCAACAAACCCTCATTCTTCTGTTTTTGTCTTTTGTACTTTGTGTTCCTCTCGTTAAAATTTTATTAATGAGACACAGGGGTAGTTACCCATTGTTTCACTAAAACAACCTCATTCTTCAGCCACGCCCACGATCAAATTGAACAAAAGTATTCAATTGAAATAGGGTTACATAAGATGAAACGTTAGTGTTACTACTTTCTTCCATGAAACTTGGTCATCTCTAAAAAGGCTAAGGTAAGTTACCAAATTGGTATATTTGGTAAGACCCCTTTACCAGGTTGATATTTTTCTAACTCTGGCAAAATTTAGGTATTAAAGTTAATCCTTAGATGCAACTAGATCCATTTCATCACCGCCGGAAAATTTTTTTGTGCAAAACATCACGTGAGGTCATGTGATCCCTAATTTGGACCAGTCTAAAGCTGATGAGGCAAAGTGTAAATGAATAAGCATAGGTAGTTGAGATCATGTGATTGTCACATGCTTCTCTTCCTACTCTATTCAAAATTGTGGTTGAAATTCAAATTAGCTCTCATATCCAAAATCCCACTTTTCGGTTTCATATTCATATTGGGGATCATCTTCAAATTAGGGGAAGCGCCATTATGCCCTCTTCAAGGTCAAGGTCAAGCTCAAAGAGATATGGACTGCATGGAAGAATTGAACATGGTTTCAACAAGTTGACATGTACTAGGAGATGGAATGAAGCCGCAGAGGAATGTGTGATCTCTCTCCAAAGGGTTTGGAAAATGGGGTATTTGACAAATTTAGGGTTAATTAAACCCCCGCCTTCGTCTTTGCCATGCCAATTAATCTCTGCCGCGTCAATTAATCCCAGCCGCGTCAATTAATCCCGGCCACATCAGCATCTTAGTTGACCTCAAATTTGGTCATGTGAGGTCATGCGACATTTGTCCGCCAATTTCATCCCGATAGTGACGAGATGTGCCTAACTGCATCGAGGGTTAGGTTCTAATACCTAAGGTACCGTTTGGCAAAGGGTTGAGTGAGAAGTTAAGGAGACTTAACCCCTTCTTAACCCGCCAAACACAAAAAATTTATACAAGGGTTAAAATGAGTTAACCCTCCATAATTTGTCAAACATAAAAAATATAGAAGAGCTAAGCTAACCCCTATAGAGGGATTAAAATGAGTTAACCCCTCATTTACTAATACTCCTATGTAAAAAGATTAAAAGTTAACCCTTCTAATTATAAAGAAAATAGTCAAAATCATTGTTATTACCAAACACTAAAACTGATCACAAGCACTAAAATAAAACTTATTTAACGGGTTAATAATCCATTCGAATAGGCTAAGTACATTAATCCTTCTTTTTAACCCCTCTTTCTTAACCCTTTGCCAAACGGAGCCTAAATGTTCCCGGAATTAGAACAAATATGAACCTGATAAAGGGGTCTTACAGATATACTAATTTGGTAAGTTAGCCCAATTTTCCATAAGAATGGCATTTCTATCCTGATAAGTTGAAGCCTGTGGCAACAATGATCATCCTTAACCTGCGCTTCAAATTCTCTTTTATCCCTTGAGATATCATACATTATACACTGTCACCTCCAACGCAGCAGAGTAAAACCACAGTCTCATATAATGCAAACATAAACAAGCTCTAATTTCACCAAAGAAAAAAAAGAAGGGGAAAAAAATTTACCAGAGAAGGGTTTTCTCTTAACATAAGGAGCGAGCTGATTACACCATCGAAGCCTGCAGGATTTCCCAGAACGGCCGGCGATGCCCTGAGCAATGAAGCTCCAGTTCCTCGCGCCGAGCTTGCTCACCAACGTGCTCAGCACCGCGTCCTCCTCCGGCGACCATGGCCCCTTCACTTTCTCCTTCCTCCCCGCCGTCGCCGTCGAAGCTCCGCCACCTCCATTGGCCGAATCGTCGTCTCCGATCATTACGGATTCGCGAACTTGCTCTTCTTCTTCTTCTTCTTCTTCTTCCTCCATCATCGACCGATCACTGAGAGTTGAAGATTCCGTGAGGGCTTGAAACGTTTGGGGCTTCTTTTTTTTTTTCTTTTTCTTGATTTTCTTGAGAGGGAGAACTGAGTACCGACCCGCTCAACTGAAACGCTTGGGATCGGTTGTGTAGGGCAAATGTTCCGGAGAACTTCCGCCTCCAATTTACGGTTTTACCCTTACACTTTTAAGGAAAAGACGGATTTGTTGGTCTCCGGATGAGGACCGGTTTGGATTGATTTTGAGGCCGGTCAATCTCTTTACCGGCGGCTTCTTTTGGTCGGTTGGTTGGTTGGGGCGTGCATGGGGAAATGGGCTAGGCTTGAAATAGCATTGTTAGCCCAACGATAAGTCAAGGCTCAAATTTGTGGGCTTTTCCCGTTTCGGATGGCACGGGCAGCACTTGAGATCTCTGTTGTTGTAATGGTTTAAACAAATATTCGTAGCATCTATCTTTTACACAAAATATTATGTTTTCTCAGTGGCTGTCAACATTTTTCTCGGGGAAAAAATTTCACTTGATGCAAATATTTGACGGAAATTTTCTAATTTCTAATATGCAGAATTTATGGTGATTCAGATATTATGCAAAACTCTCAAATTCATATATGAAGATATTGATATTATCTATACACAAGGTATCCTAGTGGATGGGAACAATGGATAATATATTTAATCGTATTTGAATATTGGGTTTTATGCACGTACAGTGCACGTGGTTAAATACAATGATTAAATATTTTTAATTTATTTTCTTACTAAAGCTTATTTCTCAGTTCTACTTTGATTGTTTTTGCTCACTTATATCTTTAAGCTATTCTATAAAATTCGAATAACAAATCTTTTATTCTTTCTGTTTTATTTTTTATTAAGTTAAGATCAATCATTTTTTACCTTCATCTTCTTCCTAAGCAATTCTAGAGTTGTGTCTTCATTGTCTACATTGATCATAACATCAGGTTGGAGCTGGATTTCTTGCGATATTATTTTTCCACGAGCTCGTTCATCTTCTGTCTTCTCATCTTACTTCACAAAGAAGTTAAATATATTTTCGATTTAATAAGATTATCGAGACAAAAAATGCCCAATGAGTGGAGAATTAGTACTTTAATACCGATATATAATAATAAATAAGATATACAGAGTTGTTCAAATTATCATGATATAAAACTCATGAGTCACACTATGAAACTTTAAGAGAGGGTGTTAATGTCAGTTATCAAACATGGGGTTTATTTATGGATTAAAGTAGAGTTAGGATCTTCAAACTCCTTCAGATAACCGACTCTATAGATCGTTGTTCTTCCCTGCACACGAAGATCTCGTAAGAGACCAGAGTTGGGTTCTCCGGTTATTCCTCCGACGATTAAGTTAGTATATGAAGTTGAGTGGGAAAATGTGAGATAATAAAGAAAATCTCAAAGTTGTGTGAAAGGCCCCGAGAGCTACTTTGAGCTGCATGACTTCTTTTTATAGAGCATCAGAAGGGCAGATAGGTAACTTGAGCCGAGTCCAGGCAAGCAGCTAACTCTAGGGGTGAGCATAGTTCAGTTCAAACCGAACAAACTAACCGACGTAATTTGACAGTTCGGTTCGGTTTTTACTAAAGTTTGGTTCGGGTCGGGTTGAAGATTTTTCAACCCGAACCGTCCGAATTGACTGAATTGTACTACTCATTCTAGTTACTATCCACATCCACTTAAACCTGACCCGTCATAATTTATATAGAGTTGCTTCGCTGCAACTTGATGTCTTTTTCTCTCACGCAACCTGATAGCGATGAAACACCCCAACAATGGTGTCCTCTCCAATTCTAGGGCTTTTCATCATCTCTAGTTCTCTACCTCTTTTTACTATCTATTTGCTTCTTTTAATTTGAATCAATCCATTTTGGAGGTAAGAAACTTAAACTATAATGTTGATTCTAACATTTTCTTGAATTTTCTCCTTGATCAATACACATAATGCAAGATAATATTTGGATCAGACTTCTCTTTGGATCAAACTTATAATTTTATAAAAACTGTACACAAGATCTAAATTATTACATATTTTTTATTTACTTTTGTCTATCAGATTCAGATCACTTTAATTCTTTATGTAAGCTTTCTCTAAAAAAATTATGTAAGCTTTGGCAGGAATCAGATTTTGATTTCTCCATCTAATATTCTGTAGCATTTGATAGTTCATGAATTTCAATAAATTAAAGTGTAAGGACTTCTTTCTTCATCAACAGATTAGAGGTGAAATTGAATTTGGACATGACATTTATAACCAAATGTTTGTTGGAAATTTGAAGTAAAAAGACAATGAAAGAAAATTTGACTTGTATTCCTCTCAAAATCGATTACAATTTGGATTCCGATTACAAAAGAGAGGAGAATGAATTTGATTCTCCCCTTTGTTTAATTCTGGGTTCTTCACGGTGGCGATGAGATGCCTCCCTCGAATGCTCGCGTCGAGTTTGCTTCTCGTTGACGATCCGAACGTCTTGATTCACTGGAACGATGTCTTCTCCTCACGATTTGACGCTGTGGAGAACTTGCGTGGCAAGTTTGAAGATAACTCTTGACGAGTTGATAACTCTGAACGAGTTTTAGAAGAACTCGTAGAGTAAGTTTTGAACTCTGATCGAGTTGATAACTCTGACGAGTTTTAGAAGAACTTGCAGAGCAAGTTTTGAACTCTGATCGAGTTGATAACTCTGAACGAGTTTGAACTCTTGAAAAAGAGTTGATTTGAACCGAAAGTCGGTTATAAGCCAAGGGAATGCTCCTGTGGTCGATCGTTGCTGAGGATGAACGTCGATCGCCCCCTTGCTGCCCAAAAAGAAGGATCCCAGAGCCCAGAGCCAAAAGCCAGCCAAAAAGGGAGAGCCCGAACTCAGTTGAGTTTCCCACTACCCAGCCCGAACTCAGTTGAGTTTTGAGGTATTTATAGGGGGTTAAGGGTATAACCGCCCCCTTAAATATCTCCTTAATGAGGGTTTAATGGGGTCTAACTGCTCCCCATAAATCTCTCCATGATAGGGTAGTGATCCCCTAAAATCTTGGGGAGAAAACGGTTCTGGAACCGTTCAAATCGTGCTTGAACGAGTTAAACGCTGAAAACAGCGTTCTGGGCTCGAACTGTGCGTTTCTGGACCTGAAACGCACAGTTGAGGTTGAAAAACGCACTAGACTGAAAACGCAGAGTTGAGCCTGTTTAAAGGCTGAAAATGCACAGTTGTGCTGTTTTAGAGATTAACTCTGCGTTTCTAGATTGAAAACGCAGAGTTGAGCCTGTTTAAAGGCTGAAAACGCACAGTTGTGCTGTTTTAGCGATTAACTCTGCGTTTTGATGTTGAAAACGCAGAGTTGAGCATGTGCGCTTTGACTCTGTAATGCAGAGGCGAACCTTAGGCGGGCTTGGCGGGCTTCAGGCTAAGTCCAATGTTCTGATGAAGTCCAGTCTTGCAGACGGACCTCAGAACATAATTTGCTGCGAAGAACAGGTCATAACTTTCAAACCGTAAGTCGGAATTAGACGAATTATATATGAAAATCGGCTATCTCGACGAGACGGGGCCATCCGAACCAAGCCGAAGGCTTCGGTTCGCTTCCTCCGTTTGGCCAAATTCCTTACGGTTTGAGAGATATCTGCATTCTAATATGAAGAGACCGTCAATTTGTAGTCTCTTTTGCTAGAGCTTTGCACAGATCGTCCTCTTGTAATCTTTGTCTTGGCTCCTTGAAAATATGAGAGTCGTCAGATTGTAACTCCCGATGTTGATTGTGAAGGCTATTGAATTGGAGTTTTCATCAGTTGTCGTGAAGGTCCTCAAATTGTAGCCTACTGGAAGTCGTCAGATTGTAACTTCCATCATCGGTGTTTGATGGGGGATAAGCTATCTATTGTGATTTTTAGACAGCCTACACCAAATCAAACCAAACAAACCGACCCAAATCAAACCGAACCCACTTGAATCAGTTCGGTTCAGTTTTGAATGATAGGAAATTCGATTCGGTTTGGCCAAATTTGGCCAAAATCCAAACTGATTGACAGATTGCACAGCCCTAGCTGACTCGGCAGACAGCTGACAGATGTCGGTTGTTGGCGAAGATGGGTCATCCAAGTGGTTAGTGCAAAGCGACAGCAACCGCTTGGTGCTAATGGAGCCTGATGAGTCATAAAATTTTTTGGGTCTGGAGCAATGATGATTTGTCACCGTGCATTTAATGTGATGATGACTGGCTATTTTCGGGGGACTCGAGGAAGACTGCCTTTCAACTCAGCCTGGCGAGAAGGGACGACTCGGCTTAGCGAGAAGGGACGATTCAAGCTGTCTGTCAAAAAGGGGCGACTCCTTGCGAGAAGAGTGAGAAGTACTGCCTCTTCAGTCGTCTGGTGGAGGGTCGACTAACACCACCTTTTTACTCGGCTACACGAGTTGCCGACTAAAATAGTAGGCCGAGTGTGATAGTTTATAGGATCGATTTGATAGTTAGGTCGGCAAGTATTATCTTTCGAGTCAGCCATGTAAGTTGTCGGCTTATGGAGTCGGTCGCAGTAGCGGTCCGAGTCGTCTAGGTTCAGATCATGACTGATCGGAGTGGGACACATATCGATAACTTAAGAAAGATTAACACTTGGTTATTTGCAGGCTATAACAGAGCGCAATTGAGCAAAGACTAAGAAATGAGAAAAATGTATCTAATAATCAATTTGGTTGAGGTCAACTATGGAACTTATATATTTATTGAGACGGTTGTTGGAGAGATATAGACAGAAGAGAAAGAATCTACATATGGTTTTTATAGATCTAGAAGAAGCTTATGATAGAGTGCGTAGAGAGGTAATGTGGTGTGTATTAGAAAAGAAACATGTATCTAGTATATGTATTAATGTAATTAAAGTTATGTATGATAGAGCGACTAGAGTAAGAACTCATAAATGAGAGACTAAGCCATTTCCTAATACCCTAGGTTTAAGGTTAGCATTAGGTTCTTTTTTTGCATTAATTATTGACCAACTTAGTAGGCACGTTTAGGATGAAATATCATTGTATATATTATTTACGGATGTTATAATGTTAGTTGACGAAACTAGAATAAGTATGTTTGGTGGAAATTTTGCAATAAGAAAATGAAAGAATTTTATTTGATTTTTATTCTCTCAATCTCGATTACAATTTA